AGCCCCTAAATTCAAACCCCATCACTGAAAAAGAAGAAAAAAAGGTACATTAATAGGAGTAGAATGATGCTATGGCCTCTGGGTCATGTGGTGATGCTATGGCCTCTGGGTCATGTGGTATTAAGTTTTTTGAGGAACTGCTGGTTAGTTTTGCTGATTTTCCTTTTTGTTTGTTTGTAGAGTCAGGGTCTTCTTCTGTGTGCACACTGGTTTAGGCTTATATTCCGTCCGCATCCCTCAGTCTCCTGAGTGAGGGTTACGGGTGTATGCTACCATGTCCGGCTTTAGGCTGGTCTTCGGCTTTTGGGAGAATATCTCCTGCCTGCTGTCTCTGACTTTGAGTGTCTCTGTTGGAGACTCAGTGGCCCTTGGTGGCAGTGGTTGTCATTAGGCAAGGGTATATTTATGTTTTGGGCATCTTTATTCTTCCCAGACAGGAACTGGGCTGTGGGCTGGCCTTCCTTTCCCTTCTAGCATCCTTATTCCACCTTTGGCCACAACTTTCCTAGGCTGCTATAATGAATTAGCTAAAACTGGGTGACTTAAACCATGCTCACACTCCTGGAAACCAGAAGTCCAGAATCAAGATCTTGGCAGAGCCGATTTCCCTTGAAGGTCCTTGTCTCTCCCAGCTTTAGGTGGTGCTTCCTATTCCTTGGCTAGAGGTGGCACCACTCTGACCTGTCTCATTCTTCCCATGGCTCCTGGCAGGTACCTCTCTGTCTTTCTGACCTTTCTCTATAAAGATCCCTGGGCTGCGGATGTTAAGAGCTGGTCTAGCGTGTATAAGGCCCTAGGTTCTATTCCCAACACTGAGAGGGGAAACGCCAATTAGTCACTGGATTATCATCCATTCTAAATACAAGATGACGTAAACTTGAGAGCTTTTATTACATTTACCCGATTTCCAAAAAGGGTCATGTTCACAGGTATTGAAGGGTAGGAGGGTATTTTGGAGGGCCGGGGGCACAAAGTTTAGCCCAGTGCTTTGCCTTGGCTATGGCCACCTTTGGCAAGGTTGTCCTTTACCTCAGGTCCTACCTTTCCCACGGTGCTTCTACAGTGGTCCCGGACTTCCAGGGCTAACAGCACTCTCCACACTGTCCTTTCTGTTAAGTTTTGTGACGAGAAGTTACGAGCTTGGAGCCCCACCTTCAGCTCTGCCTGTGTGGCTCACGCTTCTGGGATCCTCAGGTTCTTGAGGGCTTTGCTTTCTGATGGACAGTTTCCTGGACTGGAGGCTGGTGATCGCGCATGCTGGAGCAACAAGGAGGTCCAGTTTCCTCCCTGTGCTGGCCTGTGCTCTGTGATTATTTTCTGATGACAGAGAAGCAGAAGCCTCTGTGAGGGGTGACAACCGGGACCCTCACGGCCTTCTGGTCCCTGGAAGCTGTATTTTGTTGAATCGAGGCATCTAGACAGCTGCCGTGGCTCTCCTGTGGTGGGGTCCCTCTCTCTTTACTTGTCCTGACGGTTTCCTCCCTCCTAGGATGTGGAGATCGGCCCTCAGGTGGAAGCCGTGTTATCTCTTCTAAGTACACCAGGCCTAAGCCTGAAGCTGGTGCGGCCCAAAGCCTTGCTGGACAACTGCTTCCGGGTCATGGAGCTGCTGTACTGCTCTTGCTGTAAGGAGACCCTGTGGGTGGGGCTGGTGGCAGTCGGCCAAGGGATCTGGGCCCAGGTTTGTGGGGGGAGAGTCCACACTGTCTTGAGGACGCTCTCTGTTCTTGATTGACAGGCTCTTTCTGGAAGCTGGGATGGGCCTAGAGTACGGAGACAAGCATGTGTGGTTTGGCTGTTCCGTCCTTCAGGGCTTTTTTTTTTTTCCTTTTTGTCTTGCAGGTAAACAAAGTCCCATCCTCAAATGGCAGGACTGTGAGCTGCCAAGTCTCCATCCCCACAGTCCGGGGTCCTTGATGCAATGTGCAGCCGCCAACGTGTACCCTCTGCCTCGGCAGCCCCCCACCTCCTTGCCCACTTCCCCAGGCTCAAGCCATGGTCCGTTACCCTGAGCGGTCTGCGCGTTGACCCTAGGTCGGGCCACTGGATGTTCTCCAGGAACTGGCCTGGGTCCGACCTTCCGGGATGGTGGGTAGGTAGACCTGCAGGAAAGGCCTCCTGAGAAAGGTGTGGTGCCTTCTTTTCCACCGCCAGGCTCAGCACCCTGCCTTTTGTACCCATGTGACACCACCTGGAGCCGCAGGGGAGAGGTGTGGAGGGAAGGCTGGTGGCTGCCCCCACAGCCACCCTACCTGTGGCTGGTTCTGAAATCTACCAACGCTGTTGCCCCACAGGTGGGAGGATGGAGGCGGGGTGTCACACATTATTCTGGGACTCGCTGGGGCTTCCCAGTTGTGCTGAATGTGGGGTGCTGAGCTGAGGACTGACCAAGTGCCGTATCTTGCCACGCCAATGCTCTTCTGGTTCCCTTTTCTATTAAAATGGCCACTTGTTTGGTTTGGCTTGCATCTGTCAAGGTGACCCGGAGGGACCGAGTTCTGGAGATGGGAGGGTGGGCTTGGTTCCGCCTGGGGCTGAGGCTGGGTGTCTGGAGCTGCAGTGGGCACAGCCTTGCCCAGGGCCAGCTCTTCCAGCTCCTGAAGTGTCAGCAGGCCTGAGTGATGTCCGCTGGGGTGCCTCTTTGGCCATGTTTGTTCCCTCCCTCTGGTGCCCCCCTCCCCCAGTCTCCCGGGGAGCACCTCAAAGACCCACTCAAGTCTCTGCCCAAGTCCTTCACTCGGGGCTTGCAGCCCCAGGTCAGGGATGACAAAGGCCAGGATGCAGGAGAGGAAGCAGAGCAGATAAGCAGCAGCAGCCCAGGGAAGCCAGGCGGGGCCGGGGTGTTAACTACAGTACCACTTTATTAATACTGGAATCTTCACAGTGCACTTGTTACTTGTAGCAGTGACTATTTAAATCAAGGAGAGGATGGACAAGGGGGGTGGGTAGGAGAATTTATCCAAAACTTGACAGAAAGAAAAGAAAAAAAGTGGTTCTGATGGGCCGAGAGGATGGGAGGGTGAGTCGGAACCAGGAGGGGTGGCAAAATAAATTAAAAGAAAGGAACACGTTAACAGCACCAGAAAAGTTACTTCAGTCAAAAGACACGTTTGAAAAGAATATTCTGCTGTACAAAATGAAAAATAAAATGTATGTGAAGAAGCCCCAAACCAAAGTCTGTGATGCAGGATGGTTGGCTCGGATCCCGAGGGTGGGCCTAGGTGAGAGGTGGGTACTAAGGAGGAGGTGGTAGCAGGGAGGGTACTGTGGGTCAGACGGGGGATGGAGTATGTACAGCCCTGGAGGGAAGGGAAGGCTGAGTGGGGGTGGGGGTGCCACCCCATCCTCTTCCTGGAAAGTCCCTGACCGCCCTTCCCAGCAGGGCTTGGAGCCCCCAGATGGCAGTGAGCCCATTCTCTCAGGGACCCCCTCCTCCAGGACCCAGTCACACCCTGGGTGTAGGGGCCACATCTGCCCACCCCACATCCTGCATCCCTTTCCATCAGCCCTGTTGGGGAAAGTGCAGCCAATATGCCACCCCAGGGTTCCACATCTAGCTATCTGCTTTCCTGGACCCTATACTCGGGGCTCTGGTGACAACTGAGTTTGGTGGACCAGGTCTCAGACCTGGAGATCATTCTCTAGAAGTCTCATGGGCATTGGAGCACCCATGACTTTGGGCCCAGGTCAGTCCCAACTCCATTCCATCCAGACCAAGGCATGCTCTCTGGACTCCCTGTGGGCGGGGGAGTCTGCTGCCTGCTCTACCCGTACCTCCTGAATCCCTCCTCTCGCCCTGCACACACATGCTTTGACTTGCTCACACGTGGGTTGCACAGTGGAGGCAGTCCCCACACTCTCTCTGGGCCCTGCTGCCCGCCCCAGCCAGGGCTGCAGGCGAAGACTTTCTTGGGATGGCGTTGCCTCCAGCAACAGAAAGTCAAAACCAACCTTCTAAGCCTTGCTCTCAGCTGAGCCTGCAGCTCACTCAGACCGCAACAGACTGGCCAGACAGGCCCCTGGCCTACCCTCTCCAGCCTTATTCTACCAACACTCCAGACGTTGGCGACAAGAGCAGCTTCCCCTGGTTGGGGGAGAGCTGACTCCACCCTTCTCCTGCCAAGAGCCCTCGGTGGGGCCCCCACATCTGTCTCTCAGGCACTCAGACACACACCCTGTACCACCAGCTGGCCCCACACAAAGCTCTTGTCTGGGGTCAGCTCCATTTTATTACAGTAATAAAATAATCCCCATACCCTCTAATGCTCCAGCCCTTATCCCCAGCAATGGGCGAGACTGTAACCCCAAGGTACCCCGGGTTAAAGCCTCAAAGTGTTCAGATGAGAGCAGGATGTTTGAAACACCTGGTGTGGGCCTCTGGCCTCACCCCCCTGCTGCCTGGCCTCCACTAGCAACTCCTCACAGGGGGAGGGGAGCTGGAAGGTCCTGAGACAAAGCCCCTACACTTCCTCCCTTGAGGCTCTCTTGCCCCACGAGTGGGCCTGGCTTCCCAACACCTGACTGTTGCCTAACCCCAGTCACAAATTGATAGTCAGCTGATTGAGTGCCTGGCCCCCCCCATCACCACCCTGCCCCCAAAAGAGTGGAGCCTGGGAAAGGCAGGGTAAAGGCAAGAGGAGAGGGTACAGGGCCCAGGCAGGGAGACAGGGAGCCAGCATTCAAGGAAAGAGCTGGGCACATGGCCCTGGGGGACAGCGGGACCGGAGGAAGAGGATTGTGGACCCCAGGCCAGGTGGGAGGCCCATGTGGCAGGCCCAGCCCTTGGTTATGGGCTCTGGGGCTGGGACAAAGCAGGGCCTGCAGGAAGGAGGATGTGTAGGTACGGGAAGTATAAAACAGGCTCTGTCCTGGCGAGGTGCGTAAAGGAAGTCACTTCCCATGAGATGCTGAGATCAGCCTGGTTGTCTTTCTGTAAAGTGGCTGTGCCTCTTTCCCGGCGCTGTTCTGTCTTCTGGCTCGTGCCACTGCTCAGAGTGGCTGGCCGCTGCTCACAGACCAGGCCACCTACTTGTGCCAGCCCAGACAGGGAGGGGGAGGGTGGCACCATCATAAGATGCGGGGCGCCGACCTGTCGTTGGTGACGGTCCTGCGGAGCCGGACCCCGCGTCGGATGGCCACCAGCATGTCTTCGGCCGGGGGGTCACTGGTGGCGGCAGGGGGTGGGGTGGGCGTCTCCTCGGAGGGGGTGGCTGACAGAGCAGTAGGGAAGGGGAACTGGCCCTCGCCCAGGGCATGGGCGCCAGCCACCAGCTCCCCGAGCTTCTCTACCAGGCTGTGCCTGTTGGCAGCCAGCTGCTGCTCTTCATCGTCCTCAGCGGCCAGCCCAACCCCAGCCCCGCTGTAGCTAGCTGCCTCTGGGGATGGACTGCCCCAGGCTGTGTTGGGCAGGCTGAGCCTCTTCGGGGAGGCTTTGGCCAGGTCTGGAGCCAGAGGTGAGGCCACTTCGTCTGTGTAGAAGACACACTCCTCGCTGCCCGCCCGTGTGGGCCCCACGTAACCAGGGGAGTCGGGCACTGTGGGTGTCTTCACAGGGACGATGGGTGGGCGGATGGGGATGGGGCCAGCGCTGGACAGGGCGCGGCGCACAGTGGGCTTGGTAGAGGGTGTGCGGCGGATGGTGGCCACACCAGGAGGTGCACCTGAAGGTAGCCCCATGGCTGTGGGCAGCCCTGCCGTGGGCAGCCCAGCAGTTGAGGCCGGGCGCTTGGTCTGGATCAGGCGGCGGTAGTTCTGGGCAATGTTGCTGTTTCGAGGGATGGTGGATGATTTGTCGAACTCAGGGGGCCCCTCGCTGTCCGCATCTCCATTCACAGAGTAGCAGTCGTAGTCTGAGCCTGGAGACACAGGGTGTGGTGAGCCCAGGGCCAAGATGCTCCCTGAACCCCATATCTACTCAAGCGAGACAGAGAGAGGGAAGGCAGGCCTCTTTGGTCTGACCCTCATCCCAGCCGTCCCGGGTCGGGTGGGTCCTGGGGCTGTGAAGGTTCAGCAAGCACACTCAGCCCGTGGGATCCCTCTAGGCCCACCTTGGGAGGGGATGGTGTCCTCGGAGCACGAAGGTGTGGTAGTCTGTGTGCTGTAGCCGCTGGAGTACTGCAGGGAGTCCCGGCTGCTCTTCTGGTGTTCCAGGCTCAGTCCACGGGTCAGCACCATGGCCAGGTCACTGGCAGCAGGGGACACCTCCTCACCATGCTGAGGGGTGGGGAAAATGGCGGACTTTTTCCACGCTCCATTTCCACCCTCCTTTGGGATTCGAGGTGGTTCCATTAAGGTGGATGGAGTGGGCCCCAAAGAGCACCTGTGGGCATCCTGGCATTGACTGGAAGTGAAGGTGGGGCCTGGCGGGGGAGCCGTCTACTTACTTTGGCTGCTATGGTGGCAGGACACATCCGAGGTCGTGGTACCGCCTCTTCTCCGCTGGAGGCCACGGTGCCCCCACCAGCAGGGCCTGGCTCGGTGTCTCGCAGGAGCTCCACGCGATCTTTCCTCCGCTGCAGGGCGGTGGCCGAGGGCTGTTCATGGGGACCGGCCTTGGTCCAGTCCTGCAAGTTATGACAAGCAAGTCAGACGTGACCTTACTGCCCATGACCAAAGAGGCCCTTCCTTGTGGTTGAGGCTCAGGGGGCGAGGGGGCCTCTTGTTTACAATCAGGGCTGAGGCCCAAATCTGGTGGGCAGCGGTGACTATTCCGTCCCACCAGCCCAGGGCAGGGCAGGGTATTCCAGACAGAAGGGTACGGCCACAGTAAGTGCCCAGGTGAACTGTTTCACAAAGCAAGCGCCAGCACATACAGCTTTCTTGCTGAATCTGGCTGTCCCTGCTGTGGCGACTGCCCCGGGTCAGGAGGGCACAGGGCGGGCAGCGGTGATGGTAATGGGACTGGGGGCCAAGGGCACTGACCGAGGTGGGGGAGCTGCACTCGCTAACCGACTGGCAGGTCTCTGAGGCCTCGGAGGACGCAGAGCTGGAGGACTTCTGCCATGCAGAGGCGAGCGGGTGGTCGCAGATGGGGGCCCCCGCGGACAGACAGGCCAGGGAGGCAGGGAGGAGAAAAGAGTCCTGGTCACAGCGGTAGCATGCAGTGGGCAGTTTGATTCAGCACTTCACCCGGTACTCCCCTCTTGGTGTTACGGCCACCAAGACCACCACAGAGGGCGGCAGCCCAGGGCACATTCCTGCAGGCACTGACCTAGCCCAAGAGCCGCATGGTTTAAGGCTTCCACTTAGGATTCACTGAGTGCCCTTCTGGGCACACTTGACTGAGCTGTGCACAACCCCACATGTATAACCTGAAGTAAGGGAGGACTGGGGCTGGGGCTGGGCACTGGGCAGCAGATGGGCAGGATGAGGCTGATTAGAGACGAGATTCACAAGTCTTTAGGGGTGCAGATGTTCAGTGGCAGGGAGGAAGAGCACTGTCGAGCACAGGAGCTGCGAGGAGATGTTAAGGAAGAGGGGACCTCAAGGCAGATGCTGACTTTGGCACTGAGCTCAGAGCTGGAGTCAGGTGATGCTCCATCACCATGTGATGGATCATGGGATGGATCAGCTAAGCCAGGGTAGCTTCAGCAGCGCCCCTCGCCCCACTTCCATGCTATTCCCCATTTGGACCACTAGACTTCTAGTGATGAGCATCGATCACCCCGAGGAAGGAGACCAAAGCACCAGAGAAGAGGAGTGGGGGGGGGGGGGGGGCGGGGAACAACGCATCCATGTTCAGCAACGTGACGTTAAACAACTAAAAAACCCAGTGTTAAAACTCAGCAAGAAAGCTCAACGTCCAGGCCCAGAAGAATGAACATTAACACAAACAATGAACAGTAAAGAAACTTCACTAGCCCAATAGAGAAGATCCACAGAAATGCCGACACCTCCCTCTGAGGCTGGGGAAAAGACAAAGATGCCCACTATCAACATCTTACTCAGTGCTGGCAATCTCTGCCAGTGCAATAAAGCAAGAAAAAGAAGTCAGAGCGGGGCTGGAGAGATGGCTCAGAGGTTAAGAGCACTGGTTGTTTTTCCAGAGGTCCTGAGTTCAATTCCCAGCACCCACATGGTGGCTCACAACCATGCACAATGAGATCTGGCGCCCTCTTCTGGCCTGCAGGCATACATGCAGATAGAACACTGTGTACATAGTAAATAAATAGATCTTTAAAAAACAAACAAACCAGAGAGTAAAGGGGCTGGAGAAACAAGACGATGGAGTAAAGAGCCTTGGAATGATCCAGTATCTCAGGCAGGACAGCAGAATCACTAACGATTTTTAAAATGTCTAAACTAGACTGAGCTTAAAATTAGGAGCTTCTAGTCCTTCAAAGATTCTACTAAAGAGACTGCTCAGCAGTTTAGAGCACCTTGCTGTTCTTGTAGAAGACCTGGGTTCAGTTCCCAGTACCCATATGGTGGCTCACAACTAACTCCAGTTCCAAGGGTTCTGATGCCCTCTTCAGGCCTACTCAGGTACTGCATACAGTAGTGCACATGCATGCAAGAAAATACTTATACACATGAAATAAAAACATATAAATATTAGAAAACAGATACCAGCCAGGCCATGGTGGCACACGCCTTTATTCCCAGCACTGGGGAGGCAGAGGCAAGGATATGCCTTCGAGGCCAGCCTGGTCTACAGGGCAAGTTCCAGGACAGCCAGGGCTACACAGAGAAACCCTGTCTCAACCCAAAAGAAGAAAAAAATAAAGAAAAATAAAATAAAAAATAGAATAGATACCAATAAGGTAGTAAAAGCATACTCTGAGAATATTTCTGATGAAGGACATGGATCTACAAGATATAGAGTTCTGAAAATCAACACACACAAATACACTCTCTCTCATGAAAAACGGGCAAATGATATGAATAGGCCCTGCACAAAAGATGTTCAAATGGACTTTAAAAGTATGAAAAATACATTAGACCTAGTGGCATACAACTTTAACTCTAGCACTCGGGAGGCAGAGACAGGCAGATTTCTGTGAGTTTGAGTCTAGCTTGGTCTACAGAGTGAGTTCCAGGACAGCCAGGGCTACATAGTGAGACCCTGTCTCAAATAAAAAGTATGAAAAACATTCTACCACAGCATCGTAAGGAACATTCAAATACAGGGTACCACTGTTGTATGCCTATCAAAATGACTAAAGTGAAGAAGTTGTAAAATACCAGGGCTGGTATGGTAGGGATGCGACATCAGCCAATAACTATTACAGCCTTGTTAATAAGAATCTTGCGATTCACAAGTCTACTCCTACCCACATTTCCCACAGAACTGTGTACGAGAACGTGTACAGCAGTACTATGCGTAGCCATGGTGTGATGGTTTGCTTTGTCACCTTGGCAGAATATAGCATCACCCGAGAAGAGAGTCTTAATGAGGAACTGTCTAATTGGATTGGCCTGTGCACATGTCTATGGGGGGCTGTCTTAAGTTAACTGAGCCAGCCCATTGTGGGTGGCACCACTCCCTAGGCAGGGGGTCCTGATCTGTGTGAGTGAAAAAATCAGGCTGAGCACAAGCAAACAAGCAAGCATGTATGTGCTCATTCACTCCTCTCTCTCTGTTTGAAGTTCCTACCTTGACTTCCCTATAAAGATGGACTATAATCTGGATTATAAAATCAATAAATCCCTTTCTCTTCTAAGCTGCTTTTTTGTTAGGATATTTTATCACAGCAACATAAATGAACCTCGAATACCAGGGAACTATCTAAATGTCTTGAAAACATAGACTACTCAAATAAATGACATACTTATGCAATAGAACGTTATATATCCATGAAAATGATATATAACATGTAAAACATGTTGAATCATGTAAAACAGATGAATCTCGTATCTCATACACATAATGCTGACAGCAGAAGTCAAACACACAAGGCACATACTGTATGATTTCATATAAATCATATATGTAAATATTTGTGGTACTGGGACCAAACCTAAGGCTTCATGCATGCTATGTAAGTGCTTGGCAACTGAACTATACTCCTAGCCTAGTAAGTTATAGGTGTACACACACACACACACACACACACACACACACGCATGCACACACACACACACACACACGCACGCACACACATACACACACAGACGCACGCACGCACACATACACGCGCACACACGCATGCACACACACACGCACACATATACACACGCATGCACACGCACACACACGCACGCGCGTGCACACACTCACACGCACGCACATACACACACACGCACGCACACACACACACGCACGCACACACATACACACACAGACGCACGCACACACACATACACACACAGACGCACGCACACATACACGCGCACACACGCATGCACACATACACACGTGCACACACACGCACGCACACATATACACACACACGCACGGACACATACTCACGCATGCGCACACACACACTCACACACACGCACACACACGCACACGCACACAGCAATTACCCTGCATGTGGGAGAGTAGCAGTGGAGGAATGCAGGGACCTTGGGGTCAAACTGTGTCTTGTTTTGGTGCTGGCTACGTGAGTGTGTGCAGTTTGCAGACTCAGATACACCGTTGTGGTACATTTACTTTGTATGGGTGGACAGTATACATCAATTAAAAAATTCTTGAGACTCAGTGGTAATGGGTTTTAACCCATAGAATCAAATAGTTTTATGCGTCCATTATGGCACAAACAAGTGATTGTCTGCGCAGATAAACGGCGAGCAGGGACAGGTCGATTTTACAGTGAGGTTTCAGTTAATAAATGTGGGGGGATGATGGAATCAGGAAACCCCTATTGTAGCAGGGGAAGATGCTAAGAGAAGGGTGTGAACGACTGATGGTGAGCAGGGCATCTGCAGAGTCTCAAGGTGTCACCCAGACGATACTTCATTAATTAGAAGAGAAGAAGGAACACTGAGTAGTCTGGCCAACTTCACCTTGTCACCAGTCATGAGTCAAAATGACATCCCACAGCTGATACGGGGTGTTCTTTTTTTTTTTTTTTTTTGGTTTTTCGAGACAGGGTTTCTCTGTGTAGTTTTGCGCCTTTCCTGGAACTCACTTGGTAACCCAGGCTGGCCTCAAACTCACAGAGATCCGCCTGGCTCTGCCTCCCGAGTGCTGGGATTAAAGGCGTGCGCCACCACTGCCCAGCTATACGTGGTGTTCTTGCCAGAGACGTTTGGCCTTTTCCTCTCAACAAGAAGACATCAGACAAGCCCAAACTCACAAGCGGCCTACAAAATACCTGAATGGTGCTCTTCAAAACACCAAAGTTGGGAAAGACAGAAAACTGGTGCAAGAACTCGACGTTCTGTGTTGGACTCTCGTCTCTTGGACCAGATAAAAGGACAGTAGACAGAAAGCTAGCTAAATGTGCATGCATATGTGTGTGTGTGTGTGTGTGTGTGTGTGTGCGCGCGCGTGTGTGTGTGCGTGTGCGTATGTGTGTGTACCCCAAACAAAACAAAACAAAACAAAACAAAACAAAACAAAACAAAACAAAAGGCTGTAGAACATGTGATGTCATACTTGGACCAGTCTTATTTCCCTGATTCTGAAAATAGTTTGGGGGCTCAGTGGTAGAGTGCTTGTCCAGGCTGCAAGAGGCCTTGGGTTCCCTTCTTCGCACCCGAAAAAAAATTTTCACCTTTGTGTTAAAGCTGGGTGTGGTAGCCAGGTGGTGGTGGCATGTGCCTTTAATCCCAGCACTCAGGAGGCAGAGCCAGGCGGATCTCTGTGAGTTCGAGGCCAGCCTGGGCTACAGAGCGAGTTCCAGGACAGCACCAAAACTACACAGAGAAACCCTGTCTCAAAATATATATATATATATATATATATATATATATATAAAAGCTGGGTGTGGTGGCTCACATCCATAATCACAACATTTAGAAGGTGGAGGCAGAAGATGGAGAGTTTGGGGCCAGCCTGAGTTGGGTGAGACACAGTGAGACACTGTTTCCAAAAAACCAAGGGGGGTAAAATAAACAAAAAAAACTGTTTGGTGGTTACATAAGATGTTGACCTTGAGGTAAGACTGTGGACAGGATACCTGGGGACTCTATGCTTTTTGCAGCTCTTTTACAAGCCTAAAATGAAATAAGCCAGGCATGGAGTTACAGTCTTGTAATCCTAGCATTTGGGGGGCTGAAGCAGGGAGATTGCTAGTTTGAGACCAGTCTGCAATATACAGGGAAAACTTGTCTCTGATAAAAACAAAATATTGAAGAATTAATTGAACAAAAAAGCCCAAATCCCTTATAGGTAGTAAAAAAGAAAAAAAAGGAGAGAGCCACAGAAAGACAGAAGAAGGTGAGATGTGAGACGCACAGTTAGTTATAAGCCCAGCCGACCAGAAGCAATGGAAGCAGGTAAACAGACGAAGACTGGGGACAGAGAGGGCAAGAGTGAGGCCCTGAGGCTGATCCCAGAACCCACACAAAGCCACCCTGGGGTTGCAGGGCTGACTCAGTGATTAAGAGCACCACTTGCTGCTTTCCCAGAGGGCTTGAGTTCGGGTCCCAGCATCCACATCAGGGAGCTCACAACTGGCTGTGACTTCAGCTGGAGGCGCTCCAGTGCCCCTCACCTCCAAGGGCACCTGCACTCACATGCACACACCCGCACACACCCACATGCAGACCCACACACCTACCCACAATTTAGAATAATAAAAAGAAACATACGTATTATTTTTTAAAAGCCAAGCACAGTTATGCATGCTTGTAATCCCAGCACTGGGAAAGCAAAGACCCGTGGAATGGGCCAGCCTAGTCTACTTGGTGAGGTCTAGTCTAGTGAGACCCTGCCTCAAAAATTAAGGTGGATGGCTCCTGGGGAATAATATCCAAGGTTGACCTTTGGTCTCCATATGCACCCATGTATACCTACACACACACACACACACACACACACACACACACACACAGACATATATGCCCAGACAGACACCACACACACACACACAGAGACAGAGACACATATGTCCAGACAGACAGACAGACAGACGGACAGATACACACAGAGACACATATGCCCAGACAGACAGAAAGACACACACACACAGACATATATGCCCAGATACCACACACACACACACACACACACACACACACACACAGAGACAGAGACACAAATGCCCAGACAGACAGACAGACACACACACACGCCAATCTGTGCGACCTAAGACCCTGACTCAAAAATACCACATGTGGGGGCGACAGCCAGCGGTTGAGGGCACTGGCTGGTTTGCTACTGACTGGTTCACTTCCCAGCACCCACACTGCAGCTCACAACCGTCCATGACTCCGGTTCTGAGGGATCTAATACTCCCTTCTGGCCTCCTCAGGCACCAGGCACACACGGAGTACACAGCCAAAGCACAGGTAAAACACCCCCACACATAAAACAATAAATAATAAAACTACCACATACACAAATGACCAAGGCTGGAGGGGTGGCTCAGTGGCCCAGTGCTTGTCTAGTTTATACAATGCTCTGGGCTTTGATCATCAGCACAGAAAATGTCGGCTTGGATAAAACAAGAACATCCAGGCATATGCTTTTTATGAGACTCATCTAAAACATGGACGATACAGCGTTTGTTTACAAGTGGCATGGAGATGGAGATCAACAAGAGAAACACGGAACAGCAGGAAGGCCATGTGACCAGGCTCCATGCGCTAACTGCTTCCCCTCTCGAGGACGGCCTGAGTTCGGCACGAGGCTCCTGTTCCCCACCCACGCGGTCCTCCGGATGTCCTCTCACCTGGCTGGTGATGTCTGAAGGCATGGGCGAAGGGGGCTTGGAGTAGGTGGCGTCCTGGGAGACGAAGCCAGAGTCGTGGGAAGAGACACTGGAGAGGCGGGTGGCGGCCGGCTGCGCCAGGCTGCGGTAGCGACAGGTGGAACTGGGTGAGTATGTTTGGGCACCCCCAGGCCACGGGGCTCCGCCACCCTTGGCACTGCTACTGCTGCTGGGGGCACTAAGGGAGTGAAGGAGGGAGGCACGGCAGCCGGACAAGGAGACACAGGTGTGTGTAGAGAGGGAAGGGTGACAGATGACAGAGGAGGTGGGGAGAGATGAGGGCAAAGGAAGGAGAAGAAAATGTCAGACTACAAGGTCCTGAGACCCAGGTACTACTGAAGCGTTCTGGGATGACACGTCTCAGTGCTGGGGAGTCCCTGTCAGGGTATACCCAAAGTGAGGAGTCCCTCTGCCTCCCACGCTACCATCAGATTGGTTGTTCATAGGTTCATGATGGGGAAGCTGAGTCACCAGGCATTGGAAACTGAGAACAGACACAAGCCTGATAGTTTCCAAACTGCCTCCTCACAGCCTGCTGCTTGCTGTCTAGTCACAGTTGAGGACCTGGTATATGGTGAGACGATGGTGTCTGGAAATGGAGGTTGCTTGCCAGGTGGGTCCTACCTTGTTATCACCCTGTCACCCCCTCTCTTTGGGAGTGCAGTTTTCCATGGCTCTCCCTTCTGCCCAGCCATTTTAGTGAAGACTGCCCTTCTCCTGGACATGACCTTGGGCCTCCAAGGCTCCAACCCTAAACATCGCCTTTGTAATCACATTCCTCCTGGGACAACCACTACTCATTCAAGGCCTGAAGAGGCCCCAGAGGCTGTGGGCCCACCTCTCGGTGTAGGATACACTGATCACTGGGTCCGGCTTCTCTCTAGTTCCCAGTGCCCAGACAGAGAGCATTCTGGGGGAGAGGGATACCTGGGACAGAGCTCCCCCAATCTATAAGCTGCTCTGAGTTCACTGTCCTCCCTACCTGAGGACCCTTGAACCATAAGCATCTCCTTCAAACTGACCTCAGGGCCTGTCTGTTGGATGAGCAAGACTTCAAGCTTCTCCCTATCTCTGTGAGACCTAAAAAGCCCACTCAAGCCAGGGCGAAAGCCTGTGGCAACTTCTGGGGACCAACTTGAGGCAATGACCAGGCTGGAGTGTCCTTTACCCTGAAGTCCAAACAGATATTCCCAGAAACCACCACACCACTTTTTGATCTGAAACTTTTTTAGTTTTGTTTATTAAGGCAGAGACTCATATAGTCTTGGCTGGCCTCCACCTTGATATACAGTTGGGAATGACCTTGAATCTCCCCCACTAAATGCTGGGATTAAAGGCGTGCACCTTCACCAACCACCTGGCAACAGTTTCTCTACATAGTCCTGGCACTCACTATGTAGTCTAGCCTGGCCTTGAACTCATAGAGATCTACCTGCCTCTTCTTCCCTGGTGCTGGGATTAAAGGCATGCACTACCACAAATGGCACTCCACCTAGCTTGTTAAAATTTATTTTTGGGGACAGGGTCTTAATAAGCAGCCCAGGTTAGCTCTGAACCCTTGATCTTCCTGCTTCCCTTCCCAAGTATTGGGATTACTGGCCTGCATCACCACACACAGTTTGATCTCACCTTCTTATTACCATACTACATTGTCCTAGGCCTGGCAGAGACCAATGACTAAGTCACGACTCAAGTGTTTTAGCTCCCCTCCTGACACAATGATGCCAGGACTCAATGAAGAAAAAGCCGTGGCACCTGGTACACAATGATGTACTATCAATGAAGCCTCTGCCCGCCTTTCCTGCCAATCAACGCTTGCGCCCATATCCCCTACATGTGAAAAGTCCTTGGGTGCTTGGATGCTGTGTGAGTTCTGAGGTGTTAAAGCAATTGCCAACCCAGCTTTCCTGGGTTTCCCTAGCCCCTCCTGGGATTACCTCCCCCTTCACCCTCCATGAGCTCCCCACCCACCTGCACATGCTAGACTTCCGGGAGCTGGAGCTGCTGGGTGATGAGGGTGGTGTCTGGTATGACCAACTGTAGTCAGAGCCCTTCAGATCTTTGATTACCTGGACAGAGACATGAGGGCGGTTATGAGAGTCAGCTCCTAACCTGCAGAATTATCATGCATGCTTCAGAGAGCTGGCAGGGCCCGACATCCTCCACTCTGTCCTCAACTATGAACCTCAGGAGATGACGCTGAAGATCTCAAGCCACCCTAGCCTTCTCCTAACGCTGGCTTATTATTGAGCCCCGTCCACCAGGAAGGAGACAAGGGACCAGCAGGTGCTCCCAAAGACTCATGTCATGGAAATGCTGGGAGCGCCATGACATCAGGGGTTGAGACAGTCTCTGGACTTTTCTGAGTCTTGTTTTCTCCTGTGAACTGGAGCTAGCTCAGAACACCGTTGAAAGAACTCAGTAAGGCAACCTGAGGGGGGTGTGCTACAGAGTGTGGGGTACATAGAAAGTTCCCAACCACAGGGGCTGTCTAGTGCAGTGTGTGCCTCTGTGAGGGTGGGTTTGGTTCTATGGGAAGGGATGGTGTTCTGGGAGTGGATGGCAGCTAGCCAGGGGTCTCTGTTTTGAAGAACCAAGCCCCAGGGACCTGGCTTCTGCCCATCTGTGTTGCTCTGAGCCCTACTGGGTCCTGAGCACTTCATACGTCACTTGGGCAGGTATTCCCAGAAACCTCCCAGGGGCTGTTGGACAGTTTCTGGTCGTCTTTTCCCAAGTGCCTCCCCCAAACACCTCCCTCTTTTATCTACTCTCTCCCTACACGAGGGTAGGACCGTCTCTTCCCTGGTCCCGGTCTCGGCCCTTGACTCCAGGGGTAGCCGCACCTGCTCACTGGCGGGAGGCAGCTTGTGGGGTTCCGCGGTCAGTACCACCAGGTCGTCAATGATGCCCTGCAGGTGGGTGATCTCTCCCAGCATGGTCAGCTCGCCATTCTGAGGAAGGAGTCAGTCAGTCCCTAGGCCCCCACACCTGGCCACCCACTCCGGAGACACAGGCCTGGTAGGCCTCTCCTCTCTTGCCCTTCCCTGATCATCAATGCTGATTCAGGCTGGGCCTGTACCTCCAGGGTAACTCATGTGGACCATCTGTCTAGATTCAGCCAGAGTGTCCTAAGCTATAAGACCCGCTTTCAGGCCAGATAGGCTGGGCCCTGAGTGAAGTCACCTAAGATCCCCAAGAAGCAATCTGGAAGGTTAAGAGGTCTACCCTGGGTCTGTCCCCTGGCCCTCCCCAGGGGGGAGGGTCCAGCTCATCAAGCGACCCACCACCACAGGTTGAAGGAAGGTAATGAAGGTGCAGAAGCGGCCCCGCTCCTCGATCAGCGCTCGGCGCACCGCCTGCTTCTCTGTCTCTTCCAGGAGCAGGTACATGTCATTGACGTCTTGCAGTGCGCTGTCCAGCTGAGGCTGCAGGTCTCCTTTCCCTGCAGGGGTTGGGAGGAGAGGCCGCGCTGGGGACGCTGGCCTGGTTGGCTGTACCCATGGCTTAGGCCCCTGTGGTGGTGTTTTTGGCTGTGTGGTTGGGGACAAGGGAGCCAGGGAGCATGGAGCAGACTCTAAGGCTTGTTGGAGGGGCCGGTCCCACCAGAGCAGGCAGAGAAGACACGCAGACAGACAGACAGACAGACAGACACAGCAACACCAAGCTGTACAGCCACCTGGGATCTGCAGGCTAGACTACAGGGAGGCCAGCTGGAGGCCTCTATCACTCAGGATGCTTTAACTGGCCCAGCAGGGTGGCCCTGACCTCAAGAGAGAGGGGAAAATGGTTGAAAGCAGGACAAAGGAGAACAGGGTGGGGCTCAGCTCAGCTTCAGGCCAGGCCATTAAGAGGTGCAGGGTCAGGAGCTGTAGCTGGGCCTGGGGAGCAAAGAGGAGTGTCTCAGCATGGGTCATAACTCAGCTCAGGACCAGTGCACAGGCTAGCAAGAGCAGCACAAAGAAGCAGCGAGAGACAGAGAGAGGCCAGAGGATGACGTGGAGTAGACCGTGAGGGGGAGGTGACAGGTGACCTGGGACCCTCACCCTGCCCAGCCAGTGAACCCCTCCTGGCCTGGCAGACTGACCCAGCAGTGGCTTGGGACTCATCTCTGGCCAGGGGTCCCAAGGGAACCAGGGGAAGCGTGCCCCAGGCCCCTCCCTTGGTCTGGAGAGGTTCCTCCCAATGGCCCTGAGCTGGGGGGTGGGGGCGGAGTTTGACAAATGCGACAGGGAGGGAAGGAGCAGCCGAAGGGACGGACATTTGACTTACCAAGCAGCTCTACAGGACGGATGTGGGAGGAGGAGAGGAGACAGAGAAAGAAAGAATGTGTGAAAGACAGCCAGATGAGCCACTCCTGGGGAGGGGTGGGGGCCTGGGCAGTCTGGGGTGCTGGGTGCTCCCTCAGTCCCACCCGACATGTTGGAGTGTCCTGTGTTGGGACCGGACCCCCCTGGCCAGGATGATGCCCTGGGGGTGCTCCAGAGGGTGGTTGGGGCTACGGAATGGGGCCCGAGGGACTGGGCCTCTGGGGGTGCTGGGGGCTCTACCTTTGCGCGCTTTCTTCTGGAGTTTCAGTGTGTCCGATGACTTCTTCTTGATTTCATGCCTGGCTCGTTTGTACTCTGCGCAGGGGCGAGAGGGGAGCTATAGTCAGGGGTTCCCTGTGGAGAGGTTCGGGGACCCCCTCACCCCCGCACCGCTGCAGAGCTCCACCCTACCTTTCGCATGGTCCTTGTCCAGTTGGTTGGCTGACTTCTTCCAGTCTTCAATGCGCTCCTGTAGTGGATTGATGAGACTTTCCAGCAGCGCGCTGTGGGAAAGAGCTGTGGGTTAGGGCTAGCGGGCGGAGCTAGGTCAGGGATGGCCTCGCTAGGCTAGGATACCCCTACGGTCGGCTGTGCCCACTCACTTGGTGAACTGCCGCAGCTTGGTCTCGATGCTGCGGTGGCGCATGCACATGCGCGTGAGTGCTGAGCCAATGTCCCGCGTGGCCCCTGGCAAGGAAGCAAGCTGCATGGGAAGGGGCCTGGCTGGGGGCCTCTGCAGTCCCGGCCTCGGGCCACGAGGGGGCGCGCTGTTCCACAAAGGCCGACCCTGCCCCGCCCCCATCACCGGCAATCCTGTATCCCTGGGGACTTGGGCTGGGATATCGGGCTATCCCAGCCTTCGTTGGCTTCAGGTGCCCTGCTAGCCAGTCCCGGAGCCTTCCCTATTTCCTAGCTGGGTGAATCACCCAAGGAAAAGCCAGCAATATTTCTGAATGGTCCTACTGGGACCCCGGTATGTGCAGCAGACTCCAGGGGCAGCCACCGTGGGTTGTGTTACCGCTTAAAAGTACTGAAGCCCAGGCGCTTGCTAGATGAACCAGGAGGAAAGGGGCCTCCAAGTCCCCAAGGACTATTCACCTGCCCCATACAACTCGCAGAAGGCCCATGGGGATGGTTGAGAAACCATAGGGCCGCCAACAACTGCTACTGAAGGGCTAACTGAGCGGTCCACAGCAAGAGGGTGATCTCCTGGTAACAACATCCCTGTCACTGCTCACCTGTCCCATGCCATCACAGCAGACGCCAAGGTCTCCATTCTGGGCTTTGTGTCCTTCCCACGGCCCATATCCCTTTCCAGCCTCCCGGCCCACTGGGCGCATCCCCCACCTCCAACCACGCTCCCTCCCCACCTCGGGTGTTGGTGGCCATGTCAGCTACTTTCTGGAAGGCATCTAGGAAGGCCACAGCAGCCAGCACGGTGGTCCTGGGGAGATACACAGTGGTCAGCAGGCGAGAGGCCCTTCTCTAACCCATCCCTTCCCAGCGTGGACAACCCTGCACAGCCTCACCTCAGCTGAGAGTGGAGCTTCGCAGCCTTGGAGTTGAAGTCCTCCCAGATGGGGTAGGAGCTCTGTGGTGACGTGAGAGAGGAAGCAAGATGTTGTGAGATGGGGCTACATGTCCAAACTCTAGTTTCTGAGATGGCCCTGTTCCCGCACAGAGGAGGTGCCTGAGCCCTGTGAGGCAAGAGAGGGGCCCGGGGCCCAGGACGGGGCATGAAGAAGTCTGACTGGTTTGCAGTTGGTAACCATGTGCCACCTATGCTCCCTGGGTGGCAGATGGTCTCCTTAGGGGCTTTCTCATTAGGCTCTGGGCTCAGTCCAATGGAGGACACTATATCCCTACCACATGTGGTGGAAGGTGGGCACTGACCTGCTTTCTAGTGCTCAGAGGAGGAGGAGGAGGCGCTGTGGAAGGTGGAGCTTGGCAGAACTAAAGGTAGACAAGGTCTATCTACTGTGGCCCGGAAGCTGCTTTGGGCAGGCCAGTCAACCCTGGCCAGCATTGGTGGCTCACAGGCCCAGGGAGGCCATGGCTGCTACACAGCCTGGTCAGCCTGCCTGGGACAAGTAGGCCCCAGGCTGAATGGGGCCTTGTGCAGCCAACAGAGCCACCTTTTTCCAGCCCCTCCTCTCCCCTCCAGGGGAACAGTGTGGCCTTTATCCTAGCCTGGCCAGAGGCTCTATGCTGGGAGGGGGTTTCCCAATAGGGAGGTCGGGTTCCTGGTGACTGAGTTGTCCAGTCTGATTAAGGGGCTTTTCTGGCTAATGCTCTTTCTTCATGGCCGCCAGGCCTGGAAAAGTTCAGCCCTGGCCTGGAGGGCCCTGCGGGAGACCTTGCTCTTTGAAGGGGTAGCCCAGGGCTAGCAAAGGCCCAGTCCCTGTCCCACATAGGCTGCCTGGGACTGAGGCTTCTCTCAAGGTAAAAGGGACAGTAGAGCCTCAGGTCCCAGGGACTCAGGGAGGGCTGAGCTTGGCTGGAACCCCAGGGTAGGTCTAGCCAGCATCTCCAGGGACAGCAAGGAGGGCGGGCTGCTTCACAGACCCTCCAAAGCACCCTCTCTCTGCCCAGTCAAGCCAGTGTCAGGGAAAGCAAATATTTGAGAAGTGCACTAAGGCTGGAAGAGGAGGTTGTGGGTGGGCTGTCCCCTCCCACACAGCTCTGGATAAATAGGCCCGGGAGGTCGTCCCTAGCAGTCCCCAGGAGCTAATCCGGGCATTGGTCTCTAGGGGTCTCTCAAGAGGGGGTACTCTCACATCTCCTAAATGCCACTTGGCAGGGAAGCCTGCTAAGACCCCTCTCCAGAGTGTGGAGAAAATGCTGGGCTGCAGGGCGTCCTGTCAGTTCTCCTGGTCCCCAGGCAAGCTGAGTCCCCTCAGCAACCCTTGGGCAGTCCCCTATGGTGGGGAAAAACCATGGTGTTGGGGAAGCAAGCCCAGTTTCCCCTCGGAAGATGGATCCGGACACCTCAGTCTTTAAGGACATGGGCTTCTTCCCCCCGTGTCCCCACGGTTCTTAAAGGACCTCAAAGGCAGAAGAGGGGAAACGGCCGGAATGACAGGTACCCCAGGGAGAATGCCAGCTTCACCAGGCCCAGGATCTAAGCCCCTGTGTGTCATCACTAGCCATGTAACTGTACCACCTGGCCAAGCGTCCTGGGCCAGGCAGTGGCTCAGTCCTTACAACATATGCTCACGCATCTTCCACCACCCTGTGAGTGAATCCTGAATGAAGCCCATTTTCCTGATGAGGATCAGTGAGGTTAACTGATTTGTCTGAGGCCACAGGGATCGGAGCCAAGGTCTGATCTTACATCTGACACATCAAGACAGAGGGATCCTGTTTTCAGGGGAGCAGGGTGATGAGCACCTACATGCACTGCTGGGTGGGGAGGTGACAGGGATGGAGAGACCGAGGAGACACCACAGCATGAGGACTGCTCTGGAGCGGAGGAGTAGAGGGAGCTGTCAAGTGACTAGTATGAGACAGAAGTAGCTGTGGCTGAGATGGAGTGTGTGGCTTTGGGGGGTGACCCTCCCTGGGCATGCACCCCCCGCCCCAGCCACAGGTTTCTTCAGCTGTAAAATCAGAAGAGACACAGCTCCCTTACAGGGCTTGTGTGTGTGGGCTCCTAGGGGGCACTTAGTGTGGGCGGATTGAAATTGGTTAAGAGGGCAAGAGCCCCCCACCTCTCTGCTAGGAGCCCTCCCCCACAGCCAGGGTCCATGCGTCTGTGTGATACTCCCCATTCTGGATTACGATGAGCCCATTTTTCTGGATAGCCCAGTGTGGGGTGGGGGCCCCGTTGCCTCTACTGACTAGGCCTCTGGCCCTAGGCAAGTTCAAGTCTCTGGCTTGAGAGAGAAGGCCGGGTGAAGTAGCTCTCCAGGGCCCTCCCAGCCTCTGTCCATGAGGTTGAAGATATGATTGCGGAACCCCCTCCCAGGCCATCCCTCAGTCCGGGGTTGGGCTCTCCGGTCACGAGTGAGACAGCCTGAAGCGGTTTTCTGAAGTCCAGTCAACCAGCCTTGAGGTGGCCGGTCCCCTCTATCATGCCAGGGTCCCTGATCACATGCATGCCACTGATAAAGGCACATCGTGTGTGATGTGACAACACTTGCTAAAGCCTCTTCCATCCTGTCCCCACGCATCTAGAAATCTGGCCTGCCACTGAGCCTGAGCTCCTTGCTGAGACTGGACCTGGGTCTCATCGGAGTTCCTCGCAACTGACGGAAATGGAGGATACCGTCCTGCTGCTGCTTCTGGGCAGAAGCGACTGCTTGCTGCAGTGTTGGCCGAGTGGCTGCCAGTGGGAGGCAGTGCCGGCGCCTCCCACCCTCTGCCAGCCCAGGAGTGGCCAGGGGAGGTGGTCTGGGTTACCCAGTTTCAGAAAAGGATGCTGGCACCAAGATTATAACGCTTATAAGACGGGCAGAGAATGCTGCGGGCCAAGAAAGGAGCCCTCAGGTTGAGCTGCCAGGGAGGGGGGGGGGGTCCCAGGGGAAAGTACAGAACTATGGGGGGGCACTGACATGCTGCTAAGCGGCGAGTCCCAGGACAGTGTGCTTTCAGGCCTCTTTTTAGGGGGTAAGGATCTGGACGATATGCCTCTCCTCACCGGGGATGTTCCCTCAGCAGCACTGGGAGGGGGCCCCAATCTCTCGCCTCTCTGCAAGCTACCACCTTCCCAAAGCACTTGCCTGAAACCCTTGGGTAGGTGCAGCTGTATGTGGGTTCTGCAGCCCCCAGGGTCTAGTAGGATTCTGGGTGGTGTGTGTGTGAGCCTAAGGTGGGGAAGTGGGGAGGCTCAGGAGTTTCTGTGCAGGGCCTAGTTCCTTCGCTATCTGCCATCCTGTTCCTAGACGAAGAAAGGAGTGTGGTGAAGGGCAGGAACATTGGCTCTTGACTCCCACCCTGCCACTGAAGCTAGGCTCTCCCTGCCTCGTCAGTTTGGAGCAGTCCTGTCAGACGCTGGCCTCTTTTGGGGTGAGGGAGAATTTGGTTAAATTAGGGTTGAGGTCAGAAGCAGGATCTAATGGTCTCCTTAATGACCTTGAGCCATTCCCAGGCCTCAGTTTCCCCATCTGAAAGGGGTGCCAGCTCAGTCTGACCTTGAGTGATCAGGAAGTGGGGGTTGCTGAAAACGTTTCCCTTGGCCCCGGGGTTGCTTCACCAGCACCGAGCCTTCTCCCTGCCTCCTCCCAAGGTGGATTCAGTCCTATCCTTGGGCTGCAGGGATGGCCCCACCCGAGGTCTGGAGTACTGGAGCTTGCTGGGGTTGTTGGTGGGGGGTGGGGCTGCGTCCACTCAGAGACCGAGGCTGGCGGGGAAAGAGTTAACGGTTCTTTGCTTTATTATTTTTTCCTGCCTTGGCGGTGACAGCATTGTCTGGGCTTTGGGGCGTCGGGGTACGTGTGTGTGGGGGCATTGTGGTGGAAGGGGGCGGAGGCCCGAGAAACCTTGGATCCGTTAAAGGGACTTAAGGGTCGGTCCTGGAGACAACCCAATTCATAGTTTAGGGGTCTGGGGCACAGGGAGCTCGCGGGTGCTCAGCCTTGGATCGGGATCGTATGGAACGACCTCACGGACACCCCAGCCTGCGAGCACTCACCCCCTCACCCGGACCCAGACAGGCACCCAGAGACCTGAATGCAAGGCGGGCGCAGCAGGACAGGCTCAGACAAGGGCACGGACACACACACACACACACACACACACACACACACACACACACACACACACACGCACGAACATCGCGCCGCACGGCCACAGCGGGACACGGCTGCCCGCCACGCGTCCCTCGGAGGGGACCCGCGCCCGGAGCCCGCCCGGGGGTACCTTCATGTCGTTGACGATGGCCTGGAAGAGCCCGCCCAGGGCGCCGCACTCCTTCTCTGCCGTCTCCATGCTGGGGCCGGGCGCGCAGCAGCAGGGCGCGCAAGGGGCGCGGGGAGCCGCGCAGGGGAGGGGCCGGGCCGCCGCGGGCGCTGCTCCGGGGCCGCGCCGGGGCTCCCGCCTCGGGGCCGCGCTCTCAGCGGCCGGCAGCGCCGCGCTCCGGGGTTGCGGGCCGTGGGCGGGCGGCGCGGGCCATGGCTCGGTGAGGCTGGGGGCGCGGCGCGGGCAGTTCGCGGCGCAGCCTCGGCGCGGGCACTGGAGCGGCGGCGGCGGTAATCCGAGCCGCCGAGGCTTGGGCGTCACGTGGGCGCGGCGGAGGGAGGGCCGCGGGGAGGGAGCGCGGGAGGGGGCTGTGGGAAAGGCCGGGCGGGCGCGGGCCCATTCACGGCCAGAAACCAGGGCTTTGAAATCCGAGCCCTGGCGCTGCCAGACTGGTCGGGCTAGAGGGGCCGGCGGGCGCGGGCGCCACCGCGGGTCCGGGCGGCGCAGGGGCGGGGCCCGATCAGCCCCCGGCGGGAGCGGCCCCCAGCTTGTACCTTCAAGGCCTTGGGCTCGCTAAAGATGAGCCCCCGCCGTGGATGAGGTCCTTAGCGCACCCCGCCGGACCGACGGCTAACGCGGAGCAGGCGCCTAGAGGGGAACGGGAGCTGGCTGCGTTGGAGCTGTCCACCCCACAGGCCATCCATAAACTCCAGCCCTCCAGTACAAATGTCCTTCCGCTCCTTTTCTAACTGGTGCCGATGCCACCTGGATTGGGGGTGGAAATAGTGATGGTGTCCTGGCCCAACTTCCTCGTGAGTAGGGGTCTTTGTCAGACCTGCAGTGTAGTGTGTGGGGATGCACGCATGTGCACGCGGGCGAGGGCAAATACTGCCGTCGTCCTGGAGACTCCAGGTGAACCTACTCTCATGGGGGACACATAGAGCTCTAGGGAAAAGCAGGCACAAACTCCTAGCGACTAAAGGGACACAGTAGGCAATTAGGGGTTTATCCGAAGGCCAAGCCATGAGGAGCCCAAGCCTGTGACAGGTACAGAGGTTCTCTGAGCTAAATCAAAGGTTGGGGAATCCATCTCTGACTACTTTCCTCCCACTAGTAATCTGCAGTGTCCTGCTGTGCGATCCCTGCCTATGGGGACATCCACATTGCACAGGGAATCAGAAACCAGGATTAAGGAATGGGAGTAGAGCCAAGAGGAAGGTGCTGGGCCTGGGAAGAGCTGAGCCCTGGACCCACATCCCCATCAGGTGAATGAGCAGGGCCCAGCATGAAGCCAGCTTTCCAAGGCCCCAGGGCAGCAGCTACAGCATCAGGCTAGGTATAGGTGCCAGCAAAGAAAGGAGCAGGCGGGTTTGGTTAAGGATTCTGTCATTTCTTTATTGGGGCAGGGATGGACATCATTCTGTAGAGGTCTTTGTGCTGGTCTGTGTGCATCATCATCCACGTAGATGTACATATACATAGACACCATGCCAGTGCTTTGGGGCCAAGGTCAAGCTCTTCTCACAGGGGAATTAGAAAGAGGCTGCTTCAGATTCTGAGGCTGTGGCCTGACTCAGGAGGGAAGCCACTGGTCCCAGGCCAGGGTGTACCTGGCAGTGCTGGGGTCCAGGCGCTCCGCTGGGAGGAGCTGGGGTTGACGGAGCAGACTGTTCCCCTCCCTATCCTGGGCTGGTGGTCAGGTCCAGCCCTGCCTGAGGCAGGTTCTCAGGCATCTTGTGGCCTCAGCCTGGAGACCCTGAGTGCTTCAGGGCCCACCTGGGCCCTTTCCATGCCAGGCACATCAGAGGACAACTCTGCGGTCCAGGTGGTCCCCACGCCCGCTGCGCTGGTGTCTTACTTCCAGGTGCTGTCTCTGGACTTTCTCAAAGTGCTGCAGGAGCTCTGTGTAGTCGATGCTGGGGGAGTCACCTTTCTGGGACTTGGGGGCAGCTTTCAGACTGTCTCTGGGAAGATGGGCAGAAGTCAGAATCAGTATCTGCATCATGGTAGGTTCTGGTGGGAGTCAGCTTCTGGGCATGTGTGTCCCTGCCCAGCAATACCTTTACACCAGCCAGACCCATAGTGCTTGGGGTCCCATGTCTACCCCCTTTCCTGCAGCTGGTGGGAACAGCCAATACACTGCTTGAATATCTCTCAGCCTGTGGGCTGTTGATGGCGCCCAGAGCAGGCATTGCATGGGGAAGCATTTCCTGTTTACCAGTGGCTCCCTTTGGGGTGAGAGCCAGGGCTAGCAGCCAGCCAGGAAGCCAGCTGGGGCCTGGAACAGGGTCTGGAGAGAAGGGGGAGGTAGCAGCTCAGCCCTTTCTCAGTGGCATGGCTGGTGCTGCCGACAGCTGGGATCACTGAAGTCTCTGCTGGACCTGCAACCTGGCAGGGCATTGGGTCCCAAGGCCTGCAGTCACTACTGTCCCCAGAGAAGAGCTTATCTCACCAGTGAACATGCCGATGGCACCTGCATCCTGCTGCTCCCATTCTCCTTAGCTGTTGTATATAGCCACACAGGCTGTGCACCGTCTATCTACAGTGCACGTGGTCCTCCCAACTCTCACATCAACTGTCTCTCCAGCACAGCCTTAGGTGCCCCCATTCCCCCTTCCCTTACTGGCTTGGAAGCCCTGGCAAAGCCCTGGCAAAGGGTTTCATGAAGACTGAGGGCCACTCAGCTACGCAGACTTCCTGGGACCTTTGAGTTGGTGAAGAGTTCCCAGCATGGCTGGAGGTAGGCAGGCCTGGCCTAGACATTTGACCTTGGGCATGTGACTCCATTTCCTAATCTGTAAAGGAGGCTGCCACAGGAGCCATGCCATGGTGTGGATATAAGTTCCCTCCTGATATTACATGAAAGACTTGCCTGGTGTCCAGCCCCAGCTCAGGTATGAGACGGGCAGCTATACACAGTTCTGCCACCCCAAGGAGAGCAAGCAGCCCAAAGCCTGGTGCACCTGGCTGCTGTCTAGACTAGGGAGACACAACAGAGCTCTCACAATCACACCTTCCTCAGTGAGGTTGGCTGGATTAGAAAAACCAATGGCTGAAGCCAGAAGGTGTTGCGGCCTGCTCAGTTTCAGGACAGGATCAGGGCGCAACTCCCAGATTCAACTTTGGGGAGTTGAGTCTACCTTCCACATGCTAGCCCACACTGCTCCTTCCTTTCTTTAAGGAAGACACACTGCCTGAAAACATCTTAGTATCTGTGGCCGATGTTTCCCTGGGCCTTGAGCCATGGCCTCCTGAGCCAGGGTTTGACCACTGTTGGTTGACATGTGAAAGTGGCCTGGTGATGCCTACCTGGTTGTCATTTGGGGGCTTCTGCTGCTGGTTGACTCCCCTGGGAATGGGAGAAGGGGCCTCTCCAGCCCAACAGCTATCGGCAGAGGGAACAACCCAGACTCCTAAGGGGGGCAGAGGGAATTGGAGCTTGTAGCCCTAGGTCCAGGGTGTGGCTGTTAGACAAACAATTTAATCTGGGACAGGGGAGAGATTCAAGGCCACAAAGATGACACTGAGGGGTGCCTATGAGTCTACATGCTATCTTGACAATACCCTTAGAAATCTTGGGGCCTAAGTCCAGAGCGAGGACTAATAAGAGGGTTTGGGGAGTGTTGTTAGTTTTGTCAACTTGGCACAAACTAGGGTTACTCGGGAAGAGGGAACTTCAACTGAGGAATCGCCTCTATCAGACTGGCCTGTAGGCATGTCTATGGGCATTTCTTGATTAATGACTGATGTGGGTGGTGCCACCCCTGGGCAAGGTGGTCCTGGGTTGTATAAGCAAGTAAGCTGAGCAAGCCAGGAAGCCACCTTCCTCCACGGTCTCTGCTTCAGTTCCTGCCGTGGCTCTCAGTGACAGACCATTATCTGGAACTCTGAGACGGAATAAACCCTTTCCTCCTCAAGTTGCCTCTGGTCAGTGTTTTGTCACAGCAACAGAAAGCAAACTAGGACAAAGATACCCAGGGTGGGGGCTGGGGAAGCGGCTGGACCTTGCTCTCTGGGACCTCAGAGTAGTGAGCTGTTCTGCCCCACGGTAGGGGGATCCTTCCCTGCCATGATCCGCCTTGCTGTTTGCTTGAGACTGCATCTCATGTACCTCAGGCTGGCCTTTATAGCCATGGACACCTTTGAACTCCTGACTCTCCCGCCTTTACCTCTCCAGTGTTTGGATTACAAGCATCACCCTACCCATCACAATGCCATGCTCTCTTCCCCATAGTCCTCAGGTACTGTAATGGACACCTGGCTGACATAGCAGGGTGGAGTGGTGATTCCCCAGTTTAGAGCTGGCACGTTCCCCTGCCATCCCACCCATATATCTGCCACCAGCTTTCTTTTAGGGAACCCCTCTTGCCTCCCTGAGGGTGGTTACGAAGCCTGAGAGTGGCCTATGGCCCCCAAGCCTAGTGAGAACACAGGGAGGTATGGGTGGCAAGTGTATAAACTTCCCCAGCTGTTCTGCTTGCAGGCCAGCTGTCTGCCAGCTGCCTGCCCCACCCTGGGCTGGGAATGCCCACAGCCCCTTTCCAGAGTGGAAGCTGCCCCTCTGCACCCAAACCTGCAACCTGACTCCTCCTCCAGCTGTCTAAGGTTCCTTACCACCCACTGTTTCCATGCCTGTATCTACATTTGACTTTCCCAGCTCCTTGCAAAGGCAGGAAGGCTGAGAACACCCCAACACCTCCTGCCCATTTAGTCCCCATGTGCATTTATCAAGAAACTGGGAGCCCAGAGAGGGTATGGAACATGCCTGAGGCCACACAGCAAAGCTATGGAGAACTTGGGCCAGATCCTATTCCAGGCCTGAAACCATTTACTGACCCACGTAAGAGTCTTCTCCACAAGAGTCCATTCCTTGGGCTCAAGAGTATCTTGTTGGACCACACAGAGGTCAAGGAAACTCTGGTACCTAGTTTCTCTGAGGATTTATCCTGGCTTGACCGGGACAGCTTTCCCTTCCCCTCCCCTCCCAGACAAGAAAGTGGCTCTGGGAATTGGCAGGGTTTGTTGCCTGGTCTGAGGCCTCTCCCAGGGCAGTGCCCTTCCTCCACCTTCCCCTCATCAGTGCCTGTAGAGGGCAGGCCGAGGAGGCATGCTGTCACCACAA